CCAGGGAGCATGGCGCACCCTGAAATGGATGGGCTATGCGAGGCCATATCACTCTTCGTGTGAATAGCCATGGTTTTTTTCTGCAGAAACTTCAGTGTGTTTAATTACTAGGGGCTGGCCCAGATCCTGCTGGGGGTGTTATGTAATCTATGGTATATATACTTATCACCTTATTCAAATCCAAAAGAAATCTGAATTCCAAAACATCTAGCCCAGCCGTTTGGATTAAAGACTAGGGGCCTCTAGCAGGAGAATTATATTCCAGGGATCGTTCTAAACACTTCGTGTGCTAATCCTCGTAACGGTTGGAGCAGGTGCTCATTACCCTCATTTGACGTGTGAAGAAATGGAGGCACAGAGGGGTAAACAACTGGTTTCTGGAGGTTTTTCAGCAAGTTAGTGGTTCGGTTCCAGTAATAAAGTTTTTGACTTCAGAGGGTTTACAGGAAGATGGTGAGCTCTCATGCCTGCAGGAGCCTGACACCCACAGGTAGGTGGAGCGGCCTGTGGCTGAGAGGCCTTCAGGAGTGGTGGGGAGTGTGATGTGAGCCCACACTCTGCCTGGGGCGGGGGAGGGGAGCTATGGAGCGCCTGCTGATTCACATCGGAATGTACCCCAAATTCCCTACCAGATCTTGACTCTGTAAAGAAAGCAAAAGCTTTCCGATCTTTATGTGAAATCTCTTTACTTTTAAATATTGGCAACTCGTTCAAGATTCTAAAAACAGTGTGAAGACCGGCTCTGGGAATAGGGTGTGTGGGCTAGTGCTCAAATTGTATGTGTAATATTTTATTTCTTAAAACGTGGGTGGCGAGGTGTTGGAGGCAATCTGTCCGTTCTTGCTGCTAGGTCCTGTGTATACGTTATATCATATTCTGTACTGTTCTGTATGTTTGATGTAGGTTATAATTTTTATATAAATTAATTTTGATGAACAAAGGGAGTACAAACTATATATATATACACATATACATATATATACACATATACATATATACATACATATATATATATACACACACACACACGCGCACACACACACACACACATATATATATATGTATATATGTTATGGCGTGAATGATTCTAAGACCCACGGAGCCAATTGAGATTAATTATGAGCCTTTATTAGCCGGCCGGTGACTGACTCTCTACCTGGCAGGGTTAGAGGAGATCAACCCCAGGGTTTGAGAGTGAGGCAGTTATAAAGCCTAGGACAAGCAAGCAGATTACAGAAGCAGAAGTTGGCCATTAGCACAATACATCACCTAATACCACACCCTGGTTAACAAGTAAGTGGATTACAGAAGCAGACATTGGCCATCTTCATATCTTATACAATACGCTTCCTAAACCACACACGAGCAAGTAGGACAACTTGTGGTATCTAAAGAAGATATTTCTTCCCTGTAGCTGACTTAGCTAGTTGGCTCACTTGAAAATTTTCCACCCTTAACTATATATATATATATATATATACCTGCAGGCTGGACCGAGACCTAAGGCTTCCAGTGTTTCATCGGTATTCCTGGTCAATGGGGGCAATAAAATATGAGACATAGTCAGTATTGTATAGTCAAATGGATAAAGTGCCCAAAAGAGGTAAGGTACTTCTAGAAGGTTCCATCTGGGCGGGGCACTCACTGGAGCCCTTACGTTTGGGCCGGATGTTGAACGTGGGGTAAAATATTCCAGGTGGAGGTGATGGAGTCTGCAGAGACACAGGTGGGAAAGGGGACTCATTTTTAGGCAACTCTGAGTGTGGACAGACCCGAGAGCACAGGGGAGAATGGAAGACATGCCTGGAAAGGCATGATGGGAAGAGACCGGGATCGCCTTGGGTCACCTCTGCTCCCTCCCTTGTCCCCCTGAGAACCATAATTCCATTCCCCTTCTAAAGGCCGTTTGACATTTAACTGCTTCACATGGGATATGCCTGATCTGCTCTGGAAAAATGAGACTGTTTCAGGGGAAAAGCCCAGGTCCCCAGCCCTTCCCTACAAGGAGTTTGCATAGTCGGGTTATGGGACTTGGAAACCATTCCGTACTCAATGAGCCACCTTAGGAGATTCTCGTTCAGCTGTCCCTGGAAGGTCACTTTGGCAGCGGTGTGTAGGACGGATTGGACGAGATTAAGAGGATGCTTCGAGAATCTAAGCAAGAAACAAAGGCCTGATTTATGAAACGTTAACAAAATGGGACGCAGCTGACGCCAGCCTGAGGCAGAATGGACACCACTTCCGGAAATGACTGCGTGTGGTCCCAGCACCCCTGTGCGCCCACTTTCTCAAGCCAGAAACCTGGACGTCGTGCCTCACTCTCTCTCCAGCCTATCATTAGATCCTGTCAACGTCACCTCCATAACACCTCCTGAATGTGAGGTACCTCTCCGTCCCTAGCACACGGCCTCGGTGCCGGCCCTCATCGTCTCGTGCCTTCCCTCCCACCTCAGAGAGTCGCCCATAAAACCCTTTCTCAGCAGCGCTGCCAGCGTTGGCCGTCCAAAATAAACCTCTGTCACTCCCTTCCCTAAGACCATTCCGTGGCTCCTCAGGACCCGTGGAAGA